AAGGGCAATGGGTAGAAGAGGACTTTTATGGGCAATGTGGTATTTTGGCAACCAGCCTTTTACGTGTTCCTAGGCCTTCCCTAGAAGTTATTGGAGAATGTTTTGCAGAGTGCTGTAGCCTGGGAGCTCATACTTAGAGCAGCCCCCACCCTTTCAGAAACTATGCATGGGTGTCAGTTTCCCTGAAACAGAACTCAACTCTTGGGGACTTCTTGTATCTCTGTCACTGACCTCATCCTAGAATTCAAGACAAGCCAACTCAAACATAAAGCAGACACAGGGAGATACTGCAAAACTCCAGGCAAATAATGCTTTTCTAGTTAATTCTTTCCTGCCCAAAAAGAGCTCTGTCACCTGTAAGCTACTACAGAGCTTTGCCAGGGACCACCTTCAATAACTTCCTATGGTTTCGTAAACTCACTTGCATTATACTATCAGACTTGTTTCTGGAATCATTATGTAACTTATTTGTTAATGTTTTGCCTCACCAACTAGATTGTGAGTACTCCGAAGGCAGGGAACAGGCTTAGACTTGTATCTTCCTCCATAGCTACCTTGGTTCCCAGTTTGTCTTCGATACTTAAGAACCGTGTTGTTTTAGGGGAATTAGTAAGGCTGTTTTGTTTCATTTATTGACCTGATAAAGGTCTTCTGGCGATAGGTCTCATAATCTACATCTGGAGTGGTGGTACAGCAGTAGGGTGACCTTTTCTAAACAGTCTATCTTAAGAATCACCCAAGGCACTTGTACTTAATAGAGCCCCACCTTGTCCTACTGAGTCAGAATCACCAGGGAGGGAATCTGTGTGTTTAACAAGAGCCCCAGGGAATTCTCATTTGGGAAACACTGGCTGTGAAAGAGAAAAGCACTAGGGTTTAAGTCTTGGCTGTCACTTAATAAGGAACCCTCTACAGATTCCTGGTACATGGGGGACAGTACTCTCTCACAGTACCCTCGTTGAGGGTTGGTGACATCATTAGTGTGGTGCTTGGCACTCCAGCACACTCTCCATTCTGAACATCACTGACGTTCTGGCAAACCAGTCTCAGGTGCTTAAGATACTGCCTTAGGTCAGAGGCAGACAAGTTGGTGTCAAAGAACAGGTGTGGGCTATGAAGGACTATTTCTCAAAATGTGATCCTCAAAGCACCTCCATCAGCCACACCCCTAAACCCAATCTCCAATAATCTGTATTTTAAGCAGGTTTCCTTGGTTACATACACTTAGGGGGAAGAGGGACTGGCCCCACTGATTTTCTTTTTTTGTATATTTATTTATGCAGACAACTGAACAAAACAAAAAGAAAACATCAGTGAGGTCAGTCTCTGACCCCCACATTGTATGCAACTGTAGAATTGGCCACTCACATGCAAAGAGATGGGTGGATAGGCTCTCAACTGGTTTTATAGTAATTAAATAAAAAATTCTCTGGTAGAGTGATGTTCATTGCCCACCTCTGACTTATTTTTAGGAAAACACATCCTATTTTTTTTTTTTTTTGGTTTGTTAATGAAGTTTATTGTATACCAAACTGAGAGACTATGGGGGAAGGAAATTGTAATATAAAATGAACAGAAAACTGAACTTACTCTGTATTTGGGGTGCAAGTGACTGAATCTGGAGGTAATGCCTGGGATCTGTATCTCTGAAGCTGTGCCCTCTTCCAACGGGTGACTTTTTGGAGAGGGGGGTCAATCGAGTATTTATTTGAGACAGGGTCTCACTCTGTTGCCTTGACTGAAGTGCAGTGGCCCAATTATAGCTCATTGTAACCTAGAACTCTTGGGCTTAAGGAATCCTCCATCCCAGCCTCTTGAGTAGCTAGGATTACAGCTATGTGCCACTATACTTGGCTAATTGAAATGTTTTTTAAAATTTCAGGTTAATATGAGGGTACATGCAATTAGGTTACATGAATTGCTTTTGTAAGATTAAAGTCTGTGTTGCTATTTGTGTACTTCACCCAGGAAGTGTGCCATACACCCGTGCAATGTACCCTGGGTGGGAACTTACCCAACTCCTCCTCCCCAATAAACCAACATGTCAAAAGATATTTGAAGTTCTGTTTCAAGGACTAAGCATCAGAAGCATTCTTCATTAATTTACATGCACACACACTTGGAAGCAGGCATACAAATTGGCAAGCCAGCATTGCTGACAGGCTGTTAAGGGAACATGGATATAGCTAGTGTTTGCTGAAATGATCATTAATTGGCTTAAATGCTGGAAACTTAAGATATGTAAACATCTACACTGTTTGAACATCTTCTGTACATCAAAAGATTTTCAAGTGTTTTTGTCTGGCTACAACTTGGATTTGCTAACAGTGGTCTGGGAAACAAGGGATGCAGTACTCATTTGGAAAATGAGACGGCAGGACAAGATCAGGCTTTCTTGAGCTGGAACGCATGAGTCATGGATGGTTTCAGGGTCTCTGAATCCTGTGAGGCCATCGGCCAAATTGTGCATATCCATTTTTTTCTGGGGATAGAGTCTACACCTTTTATAAGATTCTCAAAAGGTCTAGAACTACCTATGGCTGGAAAATTAGAGACTGGATTATTGTAAAAGCTTTTTCCAGTTCAAACATCCTAAAGAAAACCAGTGTAGTAGTTCTTGACGATGTCTAATCTGATGGGTCAGTGACTTCATGTGGTTTTTCAAAGCCATGATCAAGTGTTCCCTCTACTACACCCACTCCTTCCCCAACAAAATATGCCCAAATTGTGCAACACTTTTCACTTGTATAAACAAGACTGTTTTCCCCCGACAGTATGATTTAACTTGTTTTAATGTAGTTTGCTATAAAAATGTATGGAGACCTCAGCACAGCATATTTGGTTTTACAAATGTTAATGACTAGTTAATGTTTGTGTTATTTTGTTGCACATCATGACAATCTGTTGACCAATGATACAGCTTTTGCAACATGGGTTGATACCAAAATTGTGAATCATGGATTTTTTTACTTAGCACGCACACACAATCTACAGCAAACTTAAGTCCTAATCTATAATATCTAACTGGATTATTGGATTCATTGCAGAATTGTGCTTATTTATCTCAGAAGATAGGCAACTAGCAAAAATACACATTTCTTTTGCATATCCCCACCCCCATATTACACTGTAAAAGAAATATGTTATTCAGTGCATTTCCTAAGAAATAAACTTCCTTATAGTATCTCTCTCTCTATATATCTATCCCCAAACAAAGGAAGAGCACAATGCACCTTTAAGATTACCATTTAAAGCAAGAGAGATAACAACATTCTGGCATTATAGCTCCCTCGCCTATTTAGAAAGATTAGCTGATAATTTTATCAACACTGTTCATTTTGGCTATGTATGGCAATAATGCATGATTGCTTTGGACAGTTTTAAAATACTTCTGACATAATTTTGGTAGGCGTCCTGGGTATTAGTAGCATTTCAATTTCTGATATATTTGCCTTGATCAAACTGTGAGCTGTGGGAGTCATAAGTATATTCCATTGTGATTTATACTTAGATTTCCATCACCTGCCCTTTCCCCATCAAGTCATATTGGACTAAAAGGACTAAAAGAGACTTAACTTATAGCAGGAGGTCAGAGACTGGTGGAGAGATGTTGGTTAGGAGAATGTGTGTGCAGACACCGAGACTGTGCCTTCCTTGTGGACATAAATTCATGTGCCTACCACGTCTGAGCTGTGTTGTGGACAGTCCTGTCTGAGGAGGACAATCATTACCTTCTATGGACTCTGTCAGCTATACTAGCCTACACAATTTCAAATTCTGGAGGTTACTATCCAAATAAACTTGCTATGATCGAACTGTCAGATTTCTAGAATGAAAGCGGTTACAACTGGGAGGCGCCTGTGACTCAAAAGGGTAGGGCGCCGGTCCCATATGCTGGAGGTGGTGGGTTCAAACCCAGCCCCAGCCAAAAACTGCAAAAAAAAGAGAAAGGTTACAACTTAGGAGCCTGCAAGGTAAATCCATCTGTAAAAATGTTTGTTTAACCAGCAGGCTTTAAAATAATTTTTTAAATCAATTCTTAATATTTAAAAATGTGAATGTTTCTTATGAAAATTTAGATTTCATAAAAATTTGAAGAGCTAGTAATCTTGGTCTAGTATTTTTTCTTTTTGAGACAGAGTCTCAAGCTGTTGCCCTGGGTAGAGTGCTGTGGCATCATGGCTCACAACAACCTCCAATCAACTCCTGGGCTCAAGTGATCCTCTTGCTTCTTCTTCTTCTTCTTTTTTTTTTTTCTATTTTTAGTAGAGATGGGGTCTCACTTTTGCTCAGGCTGCTCTCCAACTCATGAGCTCAAGGTGTCTACTCGCCTTGGCCTCCCAGAGTGCGGTCTAGCATTCTTGCATAGCAACAAACAGGTGGAGATGATGAGGTGCCCTTTAAAATTTTTTTTTAGAGATAGGGCCTCACTCTATCACCTGGGCTGGCTGAAGTGGTGTGATCATAGCTTATTGCAGCCTTGAACTCCTGCAGTCAAGCAATCCTTTTGCCTCAGTCTCCCAAGTATCTAGGGACTACAGATGCACATTAGCACATCTGGCTAACTTTTAAGTTTTGTGTACAGATAGGGTCTTGCTATGTTGCCCAGGCAGGTCTTGAACTCCTGGGCTCAAGTAATCCTCCCAAAGTGCTGGGATTATAGGCATGAGCCTCCTCAGTAAGACGCCTCATTTAAATGGCACTTGGGAACTTCAGTTTGTCATGGCTCCCCCTACTCCCAGCTGTTTTACCTGAGTGAGTGGCTTGTTTCACTCATTTTTATGGCTCACTCAGATTTAGTTTTGTGAGATGGGGTTAGTTTCTCTGCCCTTTTATGAGGCTGAAGACCTTGAATTTCTCTATCACTCTGGGAACAAGATTCCTTCTTTGATGGGGTCCCAGCCACATTGAGCTGCTTTTGGTAGGTAATCTTAATGTGCAATTCTACTTGTCCTTTATGTTATATTGCAAACTTCAAAGATATTATCACACTAATATTCATGTGTTTAAGCGTGTGTATGTTAAACATGTAAAAGGGGTATATGTATCTATACTTCCATTTAGGCAAAAGTTAATTTGGTTCCACGGATACAGACACCAAGTGCTGGCAGCTTGGAGAATAAAAGTAACAATTTGGTAAAACTTGTATAATTCTAACTTATAACATTACAAAGAAGAAATTTTAAGTTATTGCTTTTTGATTACAGAGTAAATATTTCATTCTGTTGCAAAACTTTTATACAGAATGAGTAACCATTTCCTATTCAAGTAACAGCAATCAGAATCAGAAGTTCCTTAAATGACAGTAGATGCTTGAAACACATTTTTCTGAATGGAGATGTGATTTCATTCTATTCAAGACTTTATGCAGGAAACTGGGAGTGACTTAATTTTTCAAAAGTACAAGAAAAATCAGCACCTCAACTGCTTAGTGCTCTGGAGGGCTCTCAAGGGCTCTATAAAGCTCAGCTTTGTGGTGAGTTCACACCCACCTTTAGAAGGATTCCCATTCTACTTATTCAGCCTTGTTTCAGAACACAAAGCTCATTTAAAAACAGTCAGAGAGGATTAAAAGCAGTGTTGGTTTTTCAACATTCAGAATTCATAGAGGATCTCATTTTCTGCAATTAAATGATCCGTTTTGTGTTTTCGCTGCAGAATCACATTCATATGACAGTCATATATCAGGCACTTTAAAAACATAATTCATCTGGAATAAAAATCTGCATGAACCACTTCTGCATAATTCAAAATGAGTGTTGAGTGATTCTAGTCCCAAAATAGACAGCAAATCACCACCTGGTATTCAATTAGCTTTCTCCAACACAAAACGACGGTGACTGCTGAGCTTGAGATGTCTTTGAGGTGCCCTTTTAGCTTCAGTAAAAAGATGTGAGCCATAAAAATCCAATCTACTCAGTTCCTACTTAAAAAAATACAAAAAGGTGAAATACACTAAATGTATTATACAGATGGGTTCAGCTACTATCAAAATAAATAACATAATCTGACTCAATAGTCTGACTCTGAGCTTTTGGACGAAATCTGATGGAATGTCAAAAGTGGAGACTTCCTCCTAGGGACTAGCTGCTGGTAGGCAAAAGTATCTCAACATCCTTGCCATTGGCTACGACAGCATTGGAAGAACAGCTGCTGGCAAGGTCTTCTGTAGTGGTCAAAGAGGATGCCTGGGAATGAGTTTTGGTTAGTGGAGTGGTAGCAGATGGAGAAGGGGTAAGACCAGGTTTCTTGGGTGGGATGGGTGGAGGGTTTCCTCTCTCAGCTCTGGGAATAGTAGGGGACTTGATTCCTGGAGACAGGGGGCTCAGAGGACTGGATACTTTCCCTGGAGTAGGTGAATGGCTGGTGTCACCTCTTGGATTGGCAGTGTTGGCCAAATTTCGATAGTCTGTGCCAAAAGGAGAGCTGTTGGGAGACACTGGCTTGATTGGTCCTTGTTGGCTAGTGAATCTGGAGAGCACCTGAGTGACTGTGTTTCGGGCCAGCTGCTTGGCGGCAGAGTTGTCTATGAGGGTGGGGGACAGGTCCCTGGAGGGAGGACTCTGTAGACCACTGGCTTGCTGGTCCTGATCTGCTTGGGACTGAAATTTGTGTCGAGCTGCATGGAACCGCTGGTTGATCCCTACTTGGTAGGATGACTGGTAGCCGGGGCTGCTGGCTGATGACCCCAGTAAACGCTTAGTTAGTACTGGCGAAGAGCAAGGAGAGGATGTTAGAGAGGAGGAGGCTGTGCTGCTGGGAGATGGTGAGCTCCCACTGGAGGGGAGGTGGCTGGGCATTTGGACTGGAGTCTCAATTCCCACAGGAAACCCACCATTCTCCACTGGTTTCTCTTGGGCTAACGCCACAGATTTTTCCCGTGCAGGCAATTGGTTTTCTACACTGTTGCCTACAATCAGCTCCCTGGTAGTTTGTACTTCTGGTTCACAATGGCCATTGGTTTTTGCATAATAGTAAGTAGGCGTGGTAGGACCAGGCAGGCCAGTGTGTGTCACCTTGGCTATGCTGCTCCCGTGGGTTCTTTCTGCCTGAAAACTCTCTGTTTGGCAAAATACAGACACAAGCATGAGAGGCTCAGTTGCTGTGGCTTTGGATACAGTTACTGTTTTCTTCAGCTGCTCATTAGGACCACTGTGCTGATGAGAAGCCTCTAGGTCCTTCACTATCTTTTTCAAGCTTTCCATTTCTTCTTTCAGGGTTTTGGTTCGGTTCTCTTCTCGGTTCAGTTTTGCTCGCAGTTGTTCCCTTTCGATGTCAAACTCAGACAACTGCTTCTCCACCTGGGCTTCAGTCTGCAAGCCTCGCTTTCTCTCAGCTGCCAGCTCCTCCTCCAGTTTACTCACCCGGCTCTTCTCCTTCTCCAGTTTCAGGCTCAGTTCTCCTGCTTTCTGCCCCTCCTCGGCTGCCTTGCTGGTGGCTTTCTTGCATTCAAGCACCAGCATGGATGAGAGTTGCTTGTGGCGGGAGCGCTCCTCTTCTAGCTGACTAGAGAGCTTCTTCTGCTCTTTTTCAAACTTTTTCACTTGGGACTTTTCAAATTCCAACTAAAAAAAAGAAAAAGCCACCAGACATCTTGATTACAGTAAGAAAACAAAGAGACATACTGCAAAACTGTGGTCAAACAGTCTCCTAGTTAGCTGTTCTCTGGTAGACAGGATTAAAATGTATGCCATGGTGCTCTGACCAAGTATTTCTAAAGTATTAGCATACCTAACACAAAAATGCACACACTACGATTTAATCTTTCTCTGATGGTTTAGTAGGCACTTCTAGATCTTGTATTGTCTCAGGATTATCAGTGGGAATATGATGTATCATTGTGTTGTAGATATGAGGAGAGAACAAAGCATTAGGGCCAATCAAAACAGATGGCAGAAGGCAACATACACAGATTTTGTGATAAATACTCCTGAAAAAAAAAAAAAACAAAAATGTTTGACGTTTCAGTAATAATTCAGTAATAATTTTCTCTGGTTTTAAAAACAAGCAGAGATAGCAGCATTTGAATCATACTTTTTATATGAGTGTAGTCTGTTTCAGTTGTCTTCCCAACCCTAGGTGAGGCAGAGAGACTCCAAGAGAGAGAGAAAGAGCTGAAGGAACTCTTTCAGTCAGTGGTTTCCAAGTGCCTCAATCCATTAATGGATGGGGAAACCAACTTGGTGAGCCATGACCAGAATTTAAAAAAATAAAATAGAAGAGAAACCCTACTAATAGGCGATAAGGGTTGTTATACATCATTTCATGAGATTTTTGTTTCAGGAAATGTGTGTTAGTGTCTACATATACTGGGTGATGATGCAAAAAGTATTTCTTTTCTTTTTCTTTCCTATTTTTTTTTTTTTTTTTGAGAAAGAGCCTCAAGCTGTTGCCCTGGGTAGAGTGCCAAGACATCATAGCTCACAGCAACCTCCAACTCCTGGGCTTAAGTGATTCTCTTGCCTCAGCCTCCCAAGTAGCTGGGACTATAGGCGCCCACCACAATGCCCGGCTATTTTTTGATTGTAGTTGTCGTTGTTTGGCAGGCCTGGGCTGGATTTGAACCGGCCAGCTCTGGTGTATGTGGCTGGCACCTTAGCCGCTTGAGCTACAGGTGCCAAGCCGTAAAAAGTATTTCTTACTGGGGTCCTAAGTCAAAAACACTTTGAGAGCTATAGCTCTAAGTTTGCATTCCATTCCCCAAAATGTAGAGGGGATGGGCAGGATGCTATGCGTCATTATTCTATGGAATAATAGTCCTACAATGAGTGATCTCTGTCAAGAACAGATTTTATGAAAACACAGATTGATTAGCTAAGCACAGAATACCCTATCTTGTTCTTGAAGACTCACAATGTGCTTTTGCATACTGAAAACTCTAACAAATTTAAAGTTAGAAACCTGTTTAATTTTGTTTAAATTTGGTTAAATTGTTTAATCCAGTAGTTTCCATGCTCACAGCCATAAAGCCTATGTTTTGAGGAACCAATTAGCATCCTGCAGAATACTCTTTGAGAAATGCTCTCCTAGGCAAATGCTGCTGTGAATGCCGCCCCCTTCACTACCTGTTGGGTCAGCCTCTCTCTTTCCTTCTCTAGCATGTAGGTGACGTCATCTCCTTCAGCTGTATCCTGTGCGTGCCTTTGCCTTTCTTCCTCAAGGTCTAGGATCACCTTTAAAGAATTAAAAAAAAAAAAAAATTCGTTTTCAAATATCAAGGAATCACACTTATAATATAACCAGAACTAAGTGCCTTAATAAGGACCTAAAATAGTTTCCGAGATTAAATAAATAAACAAATGAAACCCAGCCATGCCCATCCAAGAGCACACAGTCCAGTCGAGTGAAAGATATGAAAGCTATGTGCTCGAAAACAATAAGGTGTTTGCTTTACTTGAAGTATGCACAGAATGGTATGTAAATAGAGAGAAGAGAGCAACTAATTAGTTGTAGGAGTTGAGGAGGTTTTGGAGAAATAATAGAAAGTCCAGGAAACTGAAGCTAGTTTTAGGGCCAGGGTACGTGAAGGAGCAAGATAGGATCCTTTCAGCTTTCTGTGATTTCCAAATCATACAAGAAGGCACTGAACAGGAAGCCTAGATGGAACATGTCAAGTAAGTGACATCTTAACTATGCTATGTTTAATTCATAGTATGCATTTTGTAGATAAGAGGTAAAAAGACTCTCTTGACTTCATATTGCATGCAAAAAAGTTCAATTATATGAATCTTTTTTTTTTTTTTTTTTTTTGAGAGAGCCTAACTCTGTTGCCCATCTGGGTAGGATGCTATGCGTCATCATAGCTCACAGCAACCTCAGACTCCTGGGTTCAAGCTATCCTCATGCTTCAGCTTCCCAAGTAGCTGGGACTACAGGTGCCCACCATGCTGCCTGGCTAATTTTTCTATTTTTAGTAGAGACGGGAGTCTTACTCTTGCTCAGGCTGGTGTCTGACTCCTGAGCTCAGCCAATCCACCTGCCTCAGCCTCCCAGAGTGCTAAGATTCTAGGCATGAGCCACTGCACCCAGCCAATTAACATGGCTGTTAAGTAGATACATTCACAAGGTCCAGCCACCTCCCCCCGAGTTTTTTTTTTTATTTTTATTTTATTTTATTTTTTTTGTCCAAAATAAAGGACACTTTGTTGCCCTTGGTAGAGTGCTGTGGCATCATAGCTCACAACAACCTCAAACTCTTGGGCTTAAGTGATTCTCTTGCCTCAGCCTCCCAAGTAGCTGGGACTATAGGCACATACCACCACACTGGGCAATGTTTTAATTATTGGCAGAGATGGAGTCTCACTATGTTGCTCAGATTGGTCTCAACCTCCTGGCCTTACGCCAAGTGCTGGAATCACAGGCGTAAGCCATTGTGCTCAGCTCACATGGCCTTTTTAATTAACCTGCCTACCCATGTTCCCCTTTTCCTGGTTTTGGTATCAAAGTATTCATCCCAATTTTAAAAATAATACAAATTTAAAGAGACATTTTCCACATAATCCTTTCTACAACCGCAAAATATTCTGAATAGCAATGGAATCTATAGTAGATTCTGCCTGTGTTTTCAAGGGCCCTTGGTCCAGACCTCCAGGCAGAGCTCTGTCATTCCAATGGCCACTTTTCATTATTTCTGCTCACTAACAATTTTTATGAATGGAGACAAAATTTTTTGGGACATAAAATCTCTCTTTAAAAGTAAAATTGAGGGGAGAACCCTGTGGCTCAAAGGAGTAGGGTGCCGGCCCCATATGCCAGAGGTGGCAGGTTCAAACTCAGCCCCGGCCAAAAAAAGAAAAAACTGCAAAACAAAACAAAACAAAAAAACAAGTAAAATTGAGGTGGGTGCAGTGGCAAACCTGTATTATTTGCCACTTTGGTGGCCTCTGAGGCAGGAGGACAGCTTGAGCCCAAGAGTTTGAAGATACAGGAGCTATGATCACCCTGTACTCCAGCCTGGGCCACAAAGCAAAACTCTGTCTCTAAAACAAAACAGAACAACAGAATGGTTTTGGTGGACTTTCTTCTGGTTTAGAAAAACATTTAATTTTTCATTTTAATAGAAAGGCTTTTGGCTAATGGTGGTAACTCATCTCCTCTCTATTTTGAGAGCCCTGTGAAATTAAAGAGATAGAATGAAAGACTAAAAACTCACAAAAACAAAGAGAGTGACTTTATCAGTCAAGAAATTTTAATAACATTTGAGAAGGCAGAGAGGCTGGAGTGTAAGGGAGGAAGTTGTTTTGCCCCATAGGGCCCCACAAATATGGAACCTACAAGTGGCAGGTACTGAGATGAGAAGTTAAACGGACAATTGAAAGTTGGAGGAGTGGCTCAAAGTCTATTTTCAGAGACTTTGTATCCTCACCCTGATTCTTCCTCACAGAATATTAGCAGCCAGGCATCTGCTGCCCAGGCCTATGCCAGATGCTGCTTTATCCACTGAAGAAGTAGCATGTGACAAGCTCAAAATGTGGGGATACCAGCTATGACGGAGAATGGGGGCGAGAAGAGAGGGCTGAATTGGGGTAGACTATCAGGGGTAAACAGAGGAAAGGGAGGTGGGGTGTAAGATAACTAAATCTGTATCTATCATAAAAGAAAGTAATATAAACACCTAAAATTGATAAAGAGAGAGCAGTTTATTATTTAGAAATGTGGAGGTTACCTACCAAATTAAATGGCTAAAAGATATTTGCCTCTAAATATTGGAGAGAATGGGGAATGGAAGAGGTGGACTACAGAACTCTTTTTTTCATTATAAGCAGAGCAACCATATAATTTACTGTTTAAATTAGAACACTGCTGAGAGTCAAATAGGGTATTGTTAATAACCATGCCAATGTGATAGGCAAAACTGGAACTATGAGCACACTAATTATAAACTTCAAAGTCAGTATTCTACTTTGACAAACCACTTAACAGGATAAACAGACATTTAGTTTCAAAAATTAATACTCATTTAAAACATTTTTACATTGAGATACAGTATGAAGACATTCTGAATTATTTTTAACTTATTCCTCTCTCCAATCATAGAACCACAAACGTGCCAACACTACACCTCTCTGGAGCATGAAAGCTACCCAGCCCCTTTAACACAACTCAGTTACATCATGTGTGAAGTGGAAATAAAGCTTGTCTGTCAAACAAGCATGTTGTGAAGATTTTCTTAATCCCCACAATTTAGGTAACTAACACCAACCTACTGATAGATTTTATTTTTATTTATTTATTTTTTTGTGGCATGCTATTGTCCTGTTTCCTGGGCTAGAGTGTGTGGCATCATTGCAGCTCATGCAACCTCAAACTCTTGGGCTCGAGCGATCCTCCTGCCTCAGACTCACAAATAGTTGGGACTAGAGGTACATGTCACCACATTTGACTGATTTTTCTATTTTTTTGTAGAGATGGGATATATGCTTGCTCAGGAATATACCTGAACCTCAAGCAATCTCAAACTCCTGGCCTCAAGCAATCCTCCCACCTTAGCCTCCCAAAGTGCTAGGATTATAGGCATGAGCCACCACATTTGGCCCATTGACACCTTTTAAATTGGAGCATAAATATTTTCAGATTATCTTATTCTAGACCAGAGGTTAATCTTTTCTGGGTCTTGGGAAACTCTGACAGTCTGATTAAGTTTTGGACAAATGTATTTCCTATAAAATATATAAACTTTATCATTTTACATATTTTATGGAGGGCCATGGAAGATCTGAGGCCCATTCATGGTTATGGCCCACCCTGGCCTTTCATGTGGGCTCTGTGAAGAGAAAGAAAAGATCACAGGCAAAACCTGGAGCCCAAGTAATTTATCAGATGCAATTTAAGCAGATGGCTTTAATGCTAGTAACCTTAAAAGTGAGGTCCACCATATTTTGCAGCTGCTAACCCAATTTTTTTTTTTTTTGAGACAGCGCCTCAAGCTGTTGCCCTGAGTAGAGTACCGTGGCGTCACAGCTCACAGCAACCTCCAACTCCTGGGCTCAAGCGAGTCTCCTGCCTCTACCTCCCAAGTAGCTGGGATTACAGATGCCCACCACAATGCCTGGCTATTTTTTGGTTGCAGCTGTCACTGTTGTTTGGCGGGCCCAGGCTGGATTTGAACCCGCCAGCTCAGGTATATGTGGCTGGTGCCTTAGCCATTTGAGCCACGGGCACCGAGCCAACCTAATTTTTCGAAATGTTTTCTACTAAATGTACTGATATCCTCTTTGTTTGGTATATAAATTTAAACCAATAGGTTTAAAAAAAACAAAACAAAACAACAAAACACAAACTGCAGCCAAGCATCTTTTCAGGCCAAGTTTGAGCAGTAAATAACAAGTTTGGGGAAGACATTCATAAGTGCTAGAATTCCACTTAGATGAGGTAGAGGAAGGAAAGCACAACTTTCCTTTCCTGACTTAGGAGCGGTCAGACGTATGGAACCAAACACACACACACAGAGTTTCCTAACAGGGTAGAACAGCTTTAAAGTAAAGAACCCTATGGACTGTTTATGGTTTCATGAGTAATAAAATGTAATGAAACTCAAAACTAGGAATAAATGGAAATAACTATTGGCTTGTGTGTTTATCAGGTAAATTCTCTCTGTCTTGGATATAACATTCCCCAAATACCTGTTTATCCTATTTATCACTTAAGTAAGCAAACAGAGAATGCTCCATTCAGCCACAAGCTTGGTCAAAACCCAGTAGGTTGCCACAGTTTGGATGATCAAGAACTAGAAAAACACATCAAGTATTTTGGAGTACATAGCAAGAAGAAATGCCATGTTAATAATGTGTCTGGCACATTCCTTGAATTAATGTTTGGAATAACCTGTGTCTATCTCTTGTCTCACTGCTGTGAGACACCCAGCTGACAAGAATAACGCCTGCAAGAAGTTATCAGGCATCTCTTGGAAAGTCTGTGTGAGGACCTGTGCAGCACACAGCCCCGGGAGCGCCGACCTTTCGGTGCCTGCTCTCGGCAGCGGCCAGCTGGGACAGCATGCGCTCCTGCATGTTCTTGCACTGCTTCATCACCACCTTGAGAATGGACAGTGGGTTTGCGCAGACCGGCTGCTTTTCACCATCACTTTTCTCCTTCAGCGCTTCAAAATCTCTCTGTAGAGCCATCAAAGGATCACTGATATTATATTTCCCATAGCGTTCTTCAATAAAAGTATCTCTGTGCTGGGCCTAGAAAGAGGAAAAAAAATATTTTGCTTTTAAAAAGTAGTAAGGACTAGGAATTGCTATTTAATAGTTATGCCTCAAAGGTGGTGGTGTAAGTACCAATGTAATCAATCTGCTGACTACAAATTAGACTGAGCCAACTAAACGCAGAAATAACATCAGAAAGGTGGTATGGTATGGTAGTAACAAGAACCAACTTACACAGAGCTAACTATGTTTAGACATTAACCTAAGCATTTATAGTCATATTAACTGATTTAATATTTACAACTCTATCATCTCCATACTGCAGATGAGAAAACTATTATAGAGAGGCTAAGCTTATTCTTGATTACTCACATATAACAAGCTGTCAGAATTGGGATTTAAACCCAGGTAGTCTGGCTTCAACGTCCCTAACCACCATATTCACTGCTAACCATAACCATATTCACTGCTTCTGCTTATCAATGCTTATATTATCAGCAGGTATTTCTGACCTTTTTTTTTTCTGTGTTATAGCATTTGCATTTCTGAAATATGTTAAACATGATAATTTTATGAGACCCAATAAAGTGCAAGCAGACTTGCATGTGAAGGATGCTAAAGTTAAGTGTGGTCATATTTTAAGCCAGGATTACTTGTGATTTGTGTATTTGAAACTGTACTCAGTTGTTGATGGGTCAAGAGGGTTGATGTTCTCACAATCACAGGGGCAGACAAAATGTCTTCTGCCTGCTGCCAGATTCTACCCGCCTTCTTGGCTCTATTCAGCTGCTCCCTTCCATCTTCCTTTTTGTCTCCTTGGGGGCTTGATAAACTTTAGGGATAAAAGAAAGTGAGAAGAGGATACAGGCTGGTGCTTGAGTCTTGTCTAGGGTTTTAGGCCTGGTGCCAAGTCAAGGAGCTAAGGATCAGAAGGTGAGTGGAAAGATTGCCAGCCTTTTCTCTTCTTATCTCTGTGAGAAAGAGCTCGAAGCAGTACTTCCTATGAACATGATATATTACACACATGCTAACATTAATAATGCTAATTATTACTTTATTCTCCAGAGCTCAAAAAGTTTCTTGAAAAATTTTACAATAAAAAAGGAAACGGGATTGAGGAAATGTTCTCAAAAATCACAGGAAAGTACTACATAATTTAAGCTTTCAGATTAAATATAGTTATGAAAACTACTGGCATTTATCCACTTATAAAAACCATTTCATCAATAGTTATGTTTTCTGAGCACTGCCATCCATGAATAGGAACCCATCTGAAAAGAAAAGGAAATTCACAATTCAATGGCCATGCTTTAATTTAAAGAAATTCTCAAGGGAATAAAGGAAACATGGGGTTTCTTTAACACAGAAGTATGTTTCAGTGTTGACAATCTCATGCTTTCTTCTTCCCTGACTTTCCAAGTTTAAGTTCCAGTAATTATTTAGCATTATGCTACAATTTCATGTTAGTATCAGTTAGCAAATGTTCAAAGCAGAGTTAGAAACCCTGGGTTTCACCTCTGGCTGGATTACAACTATCTTAAGGTATGACATTATTGGAGTATTTGGCTGATATTTGTATATGGGAAATACGAAGAGAGAATCCATTTGTTTCTTTAAGTTACTAATAACCATCTTTCTTTCTTTCTTTTTTTTTTTGAGACAGTGTCTTACTATGTCGCCCTTGGTAGAATGCTGTGGCATCACAGCTCACAGCAACCCCAATCACTTGGGCTTAAGCGATTCTCTTGCCTCAGCCTCCCAAGTAGGTGGGACTACAGGCACCCACCACAACACCCAGCTATTTTTGGTTGTAGCTGTCATTGTCTGGCAGGCCCGGGCTGGATTCAAATCATCAGCCTGGGTGTATGTGGCTTGTGCCCTAGCCACTGACCTACAGGTGCTGAGCCCATAACCATCTTTCTAACATCTCATTAGAAGTATGTGTGTGTATGTGTGAGAGAGAGAGAGAGAAAGAGAGAGAAAGTGGGGACGGGGGTTGAAAGACAGTTCAATACAATTTTTTTCAGCTCTAAATTAAAAAAGGAATTATCAGCATTTGTTTAGGATGGAGAAAGAACAGATCAATTCCTGAACCAGCCATTTTAATTATTATTTCAAATTATTTGACAGTAAAACAAAAAGAGCTAGCTACATTTTAAAAGCAATAATGTCAAACAACATGGGACTCATCAGTGTTCTCCTTTTTACCTATAAAAATATGAAATGGATAACCTAGAATTCAATGAAAGCATCCATTTGTAGCTACTAATGTCCTAAGGCATTCTTGGGCCACATTTAGAAAAAACACTTAGACAAAGGAAGCAAAAATCTCTTTAAAGCAGTTGAAATACTACTCTTCTGTCTCAGTTCTTATTCCTGACAACCATTTCTGTATGGTTAATGATCTAAGGAAGAATTATTGGTACTGAAATTGGTTTAGTACGGCATAAAGGAAACAGAAAAAGCAAACCTAAATATTTGTATGACTTTTCCTTTTAAAGCACTATGGAGAAAGGGGGATGGGAGAGAAGGAGCTGGGACTACAATTCATGACCTTGACATCAGATCTGCTGAGAAGCTGTCTCTCAGGTTTGAGTACTATATATTTAACTAATCCTGAAAATATAACTTTTTAAAACCCATACTGTGATTACCCTGTATAATTAATAAGCACCACAGATTTGTGAGTAATAGACAAGAGCTTCTTTGGTGAAGTCTCAGCCTGAGAACAGTTGTTAGGCCGTCTGTTTTCTCTTGAAGTACTTCACAGTAATTCCATAATCACTTGCATAGTAATTATAAGTTATGTAAAATAGATGGCTTTGCCTGTAAAGGAAAAGGATCTGTAGGATAATCTAAAAACGGCTCCTTGTCAGAGAGCAATTCTTTTAAGTACATTCTAATATGAGGCCAAATATAGGAAAGGTGAATTCAGAGTCTCTGTTTACTATACCAAACACTGGACTGGAAATGGGAAATGGACTATGTTGTTTTTTAACTCAATGATATAGTCAGGAGAACTATATGGATTATAGGTTCATTGGTGCAAATAATAACAACAGTAACCAAAACCAGGTTTGAAGAATGAAAAGAGCTTTAATGGAAGTGTGTGATACTTACCTATTCCTGCATAATATAAACTCATCTCAAAACCAAGCAGCTTAAATAACAGACATTTTAAAAAATCTCATAGGCCAAGATCAGTGGTATCTATAATCTGAGCACTCTGGGAAGTTGAAGTGGGAGGATTCCTTGAGATCAGGAGTTTAAGACCAGCTTGAGCAACAGAGAGACCCTGTCTCTACTAGAAACAGAAAAATTAGCCAGGCTTTGTGGTGGTCTCCTATAGACTTACCTACTTGAAAGGCCGAGGCAGGAGGACTGCTTAAACCCAGGAGTTAGAGGTTGCTGTTAGCTAGGCTGATGCCAGGGCACCATAGCTTGGGGCAACAGAGTGAGACTCTGTCTCAAAAATAAAAACAAACCAACAAAAAACCCTCATACAGTTGCTGGAGAGGCTAGTTGAGTGGCTTCTAGCTCAGGGTCTCAGGAGAGTTCAGACAAGCTGTTGGCCAGGGCTGTTGTCATCTAAAGCCATAACTGGGGCTGGTGAATCCATTTCCAAGCTTATTTACTTGGCTATGGTATAGGCCTTGGTGCCAGCTTCCCATAAAGCAGAGACAGAGAGGCCAAGGTGGAAATCCTAGTGTCTTTTAAAATCTAATCTTGGAAGCAGCCAGGCACAGTGGGTGGTGCCTATAATCCCAGCTACTTGAGAGGCTGAGGTGGAAAAATCCTTTGGGGCTAGGAGTTTCAGACCAGCCTGGACAAACACAGCAAGACTTCATTTCTTAAACAAAACAAAACAACAACCAAAAAAACCCAAACCAAAATCCCCTAAGGTTGAAGTGACACATCATCAGTTCTGATGTATTCTCTTAGTCATACACATCAACCCTGGTAAATTCGGGAGGGGACTATTCAAGGGTAGGAATATCACTGGGGGCCATCTTGGAGGCTGGCTACAAGGTGAACGACTAGATGTGCTACCACCAACAGTCATCCCACACGTCTGTATTTAAAGACCAAGTATCATACTCAAAATTGTTATTGATATTTTTAGCTATTTTATAAGAAAATTTAAATGATCTTAAATTTGAGTTTTGGGGGAAAGTTCAGTAATAAAGCTAAAGCCAATTTATTGCAACTTCATTATTTTTAATTCAATGACAGTGTACACTTTACCTGAACAGAAATTTCTACATTGTCAGAAAACAAGACAGTCTTTTCATTTCAGACAACAGGAAAATAACTGGCTGGTTAGACAGATTCAGTGATAGAAAAGTTTTGTCATAGCAGACAAAACACACTAGTCACCTATTACTCATTTATTTCTACTGTCACAGGCTGAATCAAACAAACCACTACTGAAAGCTAAAAATAAAAATCACATAATACCTTTGGAGTCTGCCTACTTGCTTTCTGAAAATTTCAGCTATATTATTCTTAACTTCAAAAAAGAAATATAAAGTTGTCATCTCCTCCCCACTTCACAATATGTGCGTGTCTGAGTGTATATTCCAATCTTTCTGTTTTTTTATATACAGTCTCACTTTGTTGACCCAGGCCAAAGTGCCATGGCATCGGTCTAGCTCACAGCAACCTCTAACTCCTGGGTTCAAGTGATCCTCCTGCCTGAGCTTCCCAAGTAGCTGGGTCTACAGGAGACCACCACAAAGCCTGGTTAATTTTTCTATTTTTGGTAGACACAGGGTCTTGCTCTTGCTCACTCTGGTCTCGAACTCCTGAGCTCAAGCAATCCTCTGGCTTCCACCTCCCAGAGTGTTGGGATTACAGGCGTGAGCTATTGTGCCCGGCCCTTTAAAGTAGGAAATCAATCTCTTTATTCTTTGGATGATCAGTGTTCACATGAAAAGTGGTTCCATATCTTAAGATAAAGAATAAAAGGCCTGTTTAATTCAACTACAAGGTTTTATTTCCAAGGCTTAGGCTGGTACCATAATTGGACTAGGATG